CTTGGGTCAGAACAGGCATCAAAGTAAGGAGCCTCAATAAGATTTCTTGGAGAGATTCCCAAACACAGTTTTACAAAATTAATGACCATGCTGCCATCAGTTTTAACAGTGGACCCCCGCCATTTACGGTTTAGTGTTTCCAGATTTTTCGTGAAACACAACCCCAAATTATTTGCAGAAAATTTGCCTGATTTGCAGTAAAGTATATCTAAAATATTTTAAAGAAAATTCAGTTTGGGAAGGTGAAGTAAGGTTTGAGGTTTAACTATTAAAATTGGCGGCTATAAGCATTTTTAGAGAAAGCCTCAAGTACTTGCGGTTGCGCTCCTCAATCCCCGCGGATATAAGGGTCTCACTCTACTCAGAATATGGACGCATGTCAGGAGTATCGAGTGTATTGACTTTCTCAACACACTCAACACGCCCCACATTTTTTCCATATAATTTCTACCAAAAATAATGATTGGTCTGGTTAATGGAAACAACTAAAACTTTACTATCATAGTCTTGTTTTGAAATAAGGATGAAATTAAGTGACACGTGTTTGATGTAGAAGACTAAATATGCTGTGCCTGCTTTTTTCCTTATTTTTAAATTAAAATAATCCCACCAAAGATAGATATTGATCAGTAATGTGCTCTTCAATACCTACTGATGCGGATGACTCAACAATCCATCAACATACTGGATTTTAATGACTGCATGTACACTGCTGGTCTTTCAGACTGGGTTCTTTGATCATTTTTATACCTTTTTATAGTTGGTATGATTAATCAAATATGTTCTGATGAACTTCTCTGAACATAAAAGTGAGATATTCTAGAACCCATACAGTTTAACACATAATCACCCAACTAAGATGGACCTAATTTGCGTCCAGATCAGGCCGTGGGACCTCTACACTAAACACAGAAACATGACAATGATGTAGTTTGTGTGAGCTGACCCCATCGCAGGCTTGTCAGGTAGGACATGGCTCACCTACTGGAGCTCATCTCCGTCCTCTTCCCTTCCTATTTCTCCCTCGTTCCCCTCGTCCCTCTGTCTTGCTTGTCTCTGATAGCTTTTACCGCTCTGCTGATTTCACAAATAGGCCTCATTGATTGAATCAGATTCTTGTGGATAGAGCGGCTTTATTGAGTGGCTTTTCCACTGATGGACAGCAACAGGAGGGTGTGTATGTTTGTCACATGCATGCAGGTGTGAACGGCAGGGAAAAGCTAAAACTTCCTCCCCTCGCTCCCCCTCGTCCTCTAATCCAGCATCCGTCCCTCTCCCAGGTATTCAGCAGCCGGAGCATTACAAACTCTTGTGGGATGGCAACACCGCCATCCTCTGAGTGACTGGCATATTATGGCTTCTGCATGCTGACTGAGAAGTGTGTTAATTGTGACGACACCCTGAGCAAGTTGACGTTAAACAGTTAACTGCTCTTCATGGTGGTGTAAAAGCTGTGCTTCCGCCCAGCGTACATGAGGCAACATGATGAAAGTCAACCCAGCTTCTCCACAGCAGAGTCGGCAGCATCTTTGTTTGCTTTATGATCCTGTGTGCATTCACTCTGAGTTTGTCATCTTCTAAAAACCTTTCCAGGAGTCACAATACTGGATGAAAGTTCATGTTCCATTGTCTAAATCCACTTCTTTACGCAGCTGTGCTTCCTCTTTCCCAACAAGAGACTAGTTCAGCAAAATCAGCAAAGCTTTTTAAAAAATTATGTTGGTTTACTTTGGGGTTGGTTTGAATTTTTTTTAGGCCCAATGTGAACTCAAATCACTGATCAAGCAATTTATGGTCTGCTAACATTTATTCTTTTTTTGTCCATTCATTCATGTATTCATTTGACTGCACATCCGTTTAGCAATTCATTCATTTGTAAAATCATTTGTTCAATAATCCATCTATCCACCTACTTATTGTGCTTCCTTCCATCTACACATCCATCATCCGAAGAGCGTTTTACTGTAAGCTTTTCTGTTAAATTTGAAAAATAGGCGAAAAGGATTACTCGAAATTTAAGTGTGAAAAAGTATGGCCTAAAATAAGAGAGGAACTATTGGTTTAGTAACTTCACGTCATAAATTATCGTATTTCAGATCTAAGAGCTCAGTCCAATAGTATTGTCTGGCTTTGCCGGCATACTCTTAGTGAACATCAAGCTGCATCCTCTGCCCTCCGCTGAGCCTCTCCACAGAGCAGCGCTCACCTCATCCCAGCTGCAGCATCTGAGCTCCCCGCCTTTCTACTCTATTTTGTCTCTCTGCTCTCAACAGGCAGGTTGCCTCCTATACAGAGCAGGTTGGATTGGGATCTTTTTTGCGTGTGCCTGTTTAACCCCTGCAGACCTGCACGTCTGTCACAATAAAATGCACACAGATGCACATAAGCTTCTCTAACATTTCTGCTGCTGAGCTTCTTTTTTTTTTTTTTTTTCAGTTTTTTCTTCCAACAACCCTTTAAAGATGAAAACATTGTGATGTTTGCCGTTTCTTTCTGCGTTTCCATTGGGCAGCAGGTTCGTGTTCGCTGATACCCAGAGCAAAGCAGATTCCCTGCCATAATCCTTCTCATGCAGCTTTTTATACATCACCATGGCAAAGATAAATGTAGTCCCAAAAAAATCAACTTGTGAAAGCAATGAATATATTGTTCAGAATTTTTATGGTAACTTCTTATTCTCCATTGGCCTGGCCTACTTTCAAACAACTGCTGACTCTTTTCAGAGACAACACAGAATGGTGCGGTCAAGGTGCGCTGGACTTTTTCGTGAATAAATATGATAAAGATTCAATCTAACTAGGATCATTGTAAATCATTATCTCATTTGGTGTATAAATCTGTCTTGCATATGTGTGGGGTATAATTTTAAACATCCATAAAAAGCCCTAACGTAATTTATCTAAAATTAAGGCCTTAAAATCATTCAAAATGTAGCTCAGCCTAATCAAAAGTCTTAAATTTCCACGTGGCTGCCCCATATAATCTCATATGTAGCTTTATTTTTTCTTGCCAGACATTTTTGTCTTGCACAGGTTTAATGCGCACACAAGCATCTTCAGTGCGTTCTGTGCTGCTAATATACCCCTTTTCTAGCTAGCTAACTTTTGTCATGGGTAAGTGAGGATGTCTCACCAACTGGGTGAACAGTGTTCGTTTTTGCCACTGGCTCACTTCTGTTGCCAGCCCTAATGAGCCCGTGGGATCCCCAAATCATCCCCAACATTTTATAGTTTTTTCAGTCTTAAAGTTCATTCAAGCTGTTGATTTTTAAGGTCTTTTTTAAGGCCTTAAAAAGTCTTGAAGTTGACTTTCTGAAACTTCTGGATCCCCTGTTAAAGTGCTCCTATAAAAAGAAAGCGGGCAGATGTCTGCAGAGGAAATGAAGGCAGAATTCTTTTATTAAGTGGAAGTTGTGTGATGGACTAAACAGTACACAGCTCTGCAGCCTTATATTTAGTCAGGGGAGACCAGCCTCTGTCTCTCTCTCTCTCACTGTGGCTGTGTTGACGAGAGGTCTCGAGGGAGGGCTTAACTCTGAAGCCCTCCTTTTCTTCCCCCTCCACATCCATTCTTTCCTCATCATCCTCTGAATGCGACACGCTGTTGCTGAACTACCAATTTGTCGAAGAGGCCCTCCGCTCCAAGACTGAATAGAGGAACGGAGTCGGCTGCCTTTTATTTTGTCCTGTTGCGTTCACATGAAGATGCGGTGTGCGGATGGTGGAGCAACCAGTCCGTGTTTTTGAACTGAAGCGTTTAGCAAAAAGATACAAAAAAAGCCATGAAATCGATAGTTACTTAAGGTTGGAGTGAGGTTAGTGAAACTTGCCGCTAACGCTTTTGTTCTCCTCACTTTGGAAAATGATTCACGTACCAGCCAAGCTTAAATATGATGCACTACCTGGGAAATTACAGGGGCTTTTGTGTTGTCATGGTTATTGAGTGTCTGGTAGCTCCAGGGGAAATGGAGTTTCAAGGTGCTGGGGGAGGGATTGAGGCGACGGAGGGAGAGATGGGTGTGAGGAGGAGGGTGAGGGGGTGGGAGGGTGCTATCTTAATTGCTTTCCGTGAATAATTTCAGTTCCCTAATTTGGCAATAATGACAGTGGCTGCTGCTTTTGTATTTATTTATCCAAACATTAATTGACAGGACTGACATTAGCTAGGGCGGTTATTGCGAGTTTGATTGCGCACAAGGGAGCAAAGAAAATTACAGTAATTATCATTCTGATATGGATTATGAATATGCATTCTCACACTTAATGTCTCTGTCAGCATTTTAGCAACAACAAGCCACTCTGGAATGACAACGGCACTTTAGCTTATCCCCATCCATGTTTGACTAAGCCCTGTCCAGGCAGTGCCTGTAGAGGACATTAACATGTCGTGTTGAAGAGATTCAGCGGCTCCATGGGAGCACAGAACCGCCTGCCATGTAGGTTCCTTCACTGTGTTGGGATTAAGACTGAAACGATTAATCGTGATTAATCGATTACTGAAATAATTGCCAGCTAATTTAGTAATCGATTAATTGTTAACTGGGGTATACAGACTCAAAGAACAACAGACTTAAGAGCAATAATTAAGCAAAAACTGTGTGAAAACTATATACATTTTCCAAATCTCCTATTAAGCACATTTTTCTAATAAATTAATCCAAAAAATAATTAACAAATCAGCCCTAGGAAGTATTGGAAGTATTTTTTTTTTAGCTGCAGATGCATCCTGTGCTACAAATGATTAAACGTTCACTAAAGGCATTAAAATGATCTCCTTATTTTAAAACAGAGTTTAATTATTTATTTGAATCTATGAATATATTTCTAAAAGACTTAAGTGGTTAAATGAAAAATATGCAGAATGTGCCAGTTTTTTTTTTTTTTATGTGATTAATTGATTAATCATCAGATTAATTTATAGAGTAACCCATTGCTAAAATAATCATTTGTTTCAGCTCTAGTTTGGATTAGGTCTGAAGTCTGTCTGGTTGTCTCTTTCAGGCTGAGGGTGAAGACAATTTGAAGAAGATGCAGCTGATGGAGCTGGCTATTCTCAACGGGACATACAGAGACAACAATGTCAAAACACGTAAGTCGACTGATCGGTCTGTTAGGCAGCACAAATGGCTAATATCTTCATAACACACACCATATATAACCAGGCCAGACGTTCATCTGACTTGTGAACTAACAGCAGATTAATTTGTAACAAGATTTAGTGTTTTCATGTTGCCACATTAACTTAGACCACAGCAGACGATTAACAAGCTTTCTGAACAGATTGTTTTCTGAATTACATCCAGGACCATTTCTGTTTTTATGTTTCTTTCCTCTCAGCAATTATCCATTCGTCCTGCCCTTTGTTATCCATAAATACATCTCCGTACATTGGATATCATCAAAAACATCATTTATTTCAGTAATTCATTTTTTAAAAGTGAAAATTATGCATTAAATCAATTCATTATGCCAAAATGTATGAATTCCTAGTGTTTATTTCTGTTGATTTTGATAATTAAAAATAAAAGCCCCAAATTAATATTCAGGGATATGCCTCCTCTACATAAACTGGATTAAGGTAACCAACAAGATTAGTAGAAAGTTGAGTGGAAGGACAAACTGTAGTACAAAAAACCACACGACTAGATCCACACCTCATGGGTGATTCTGTAGTGTTGCTAAATATTAAAAGTTAACCTATTTTTATGGTTTTGTATATTTTTTATGCATTTTTAAGTCCTTGAAACTTGAGCAAGTGTTTTGCAGTTATTCTTAAGGTGTGAATTAATGCAAAATGAGGCCAGACCAAGTATTGAGATCTTTTACAGTGCAGTAGATGGACATTGTTTAATAGAGCAACATTACTGTATTAAAAGCCTTGTTTTTATTCTAATTTTCTGAAATCTAATTATGGGTTTTCATTAGCTCTAAGATGCAATCATCTGAATTAGCACTCAAAACGTGTCCCTCTTGTAGTGGATTCACTTTTTGAATTGAATTACTGAAATAAACAAACATTGTAATGATATTTAGAATTTTTGACATGCCCCTGTACATCCTCCTCCTCACTTGTTTCCATCCGCTTGATTCTGCATGTCAGTCACCAGGTTTCATTAACACTGAGCTTTTCGCCAGCCAGTCCAGAACCTGTGCATGTTTTGATTCTTTGCGATCTCTGCTTTCATTTCAGATGGTTCTAGAGTTAATTATTCTGCACATTTGCCCTTCAATCTGTGAAATTTGCATTTTAATTGATCAATTTAAGCAGTTGTTTATTTATTTCTTGCGTTACATTAAGCTAAGCCACTAACTGCAGTCACTGAAGCACTTGATTTATTTAGAAAACTGCTAAAAAATGTTTTCACACCCAACAGAAGCTGACTGCTACCAATGCATTTAAATTGAATTGATCAGCAATATGTTGCAATATCAGCCTTTGTGTGATGAGCCCACAGTGTTTCTGCTGTGGCTGTTTTTATCGGTGTCGTCTGCAGTCATCTCTGTTGCCATGTGTGTCTGTACCTCGCTGTGCTGTTCCCATTAAGGTTGGAGCTGCTGTGGTGATGGGGAGCTTCCAGTTGGTCACAGCTGTATTTTGTGCTTTTCCTGTTTTGGTGTGGGGAGGGTTTAATTCATTTTTTATTTTTGGCTGTGTTCATTTGTTGTATTGATTAAATTTTTTTGCAACAGACTGTCGCTTTTGTGGTTCACCACCATGATCATTGCATGGACTAATTTTCCTTTTTGCTCCTCTCCTCTTTTTGTCCTCTCCCCCCACTTTCCTTCCCATTCACCTTTCTTTTCCTCCTCTGTGTTTCCACCCTTTTTCTGTCCATCTGTGATATTGACCGACCACGCTGCACTTTGTCTTCCTTCTTTCTTTCTGCGCCTGTCCTTTGCTCTCTTGCTTATGGCAGCCCCCCTTGCGTTCTCTCTTGCAGCAGCGGCAGCGGCCGCTCAGGGCCCCCGCCTCATAGCGGCCCCCGCGGGTCAGGTGTTGCCTCCGGCACTCCGGCCCCCGACGCCGGCCGGGGCCCCCATCATGAACCTCATCCGGCCCACTCAGATGGCCGCTATGCTGCCCAATGGCACCCCCACCTTGGTGCCTCCCACACCAGACGGCGGACTAATCTACACCACCCCATATGAGTACCCCTACGCCTTGGCACCCACCTCGTTGCTGGAGTACCCCATCGAGCACAGTGGGGTTCTAGGTAAGAGAGCCTGGGGCAGCTTGGGTGCAGCGGGTACAGCGGCCAACTTTAGCCAGCCTGGACAGGAGGGCAGCTTGTTTTACCCCGGAATCGGGGTGCTGGACGCAGCTACCATGAGCCACAGTCAGGACTTTTTGAAAGGTAAATATGTTGTGTCCACCTGAAGATGAAAAACAGATAAACTCATAGGGTGGATGTGCTGGTGGAGCTCTTGGTGATGGCTCATACGGACACTGCAGTATACTGAAAGGGGGACAGACGTTACAGTGTGAACGCTGGGCTGTTGAAGTCTCTTTTTACTCCAAAAGTGAGCTTATTTCACTGTTTTTAGTTTCACTCTGGCCAAACAAATCCGCTCTCAGGTTTACATCGCCTCTTCTCTGCAAGGTTTATAGCAGAAGATGCCTCAGTATGAAGTGAGGCACACTGACAGAAACACACTTTCATACACTTTCATACATTTCATACTCTCTAACCTTTTCATGCACTGGCCTGGAGGCATATTCAGTCTGGCGGCAGATCCCCTCGGATTTCTGCAGCTTTTGAAATCATTTCTGCGCGCTGTTCTCCGCGGGCAGGCCTTGATACCTAGAGACGGTCCCTCTCTCGCTCCCACTGCGGATGTTCATTAAATTCCTCCAGTATGCCCTTTTTTCTCCCCCTCCCTTCTTCACATCGTCTTAGCTTCACCCCTGTTAAACTTGAGCTTTCTCCGCTTTTTTACCTGACATCCTCCTTAGTTTCTGTCAGGAGGGACAGTTAAATATTTAGCTCCACATATTATTCTTATTCTCAATGGTGCTTAAAGCTCGACACATCTGCTACCAAAGAGACGTGTTGAATATTCTGACATGTGCAGCATATGTTGTGCTAAGGACTGTTGGAATGTTGCTCCCAGGTTGAGACAAAAGAGCCTCTGTCAGTTTGTGCGGATCTCTGTTTGACACAAACTCCTCTAATGTCTCTAAGATCACATGCCGGCAGCTTTTTTGTGTGTGTGTGTGTTATTTTTTTTTTTATTTTTTTTTTTTTTAGTTGACCCGAGCATCATGGGTGCCGCTGCGAAACGTGTAGAACAGGCAGGGACAGCTGACTGGCTTTTCTCTCTTTAACTTGCAGGGTTACACCAGCTTAGTGCATTTTATTTACTCACACTATCGATCGGTGCCTTCAGCAACACACACGTCTCGCATTCACACACTCTCACGGATGTGGCTCTGCTTTATGCAGTTCTGTTTCCAGGCACTGGCAGGTCGCCGGCTTCTTCAGAGTTGTGCTTGGTGAATATAAAAAGTTTACACACCCCTGGTAAAATGAGACAGATCAATCATTTCAGTGAAAAACAGGCCATGAACCTTTTGGAATAATACTATAATTTATTCCATATTATAGTAAGTTATAGTATGGAAATAATTGTATTATAGTGCTATGATCTGTGTTTTTGCTTTGAAGTGTGGTCATGGCAACATTTGTTTTCTCATCTTTGCAAAACTGCTCCAAATCTGTGAGATTGAGAGAAGATTTCCTTTGCACAACCTTCTTCAGGTTTGTGTTTGGACTGGGCCGTTCCAGACTTCAGTCCTCCTCTGTTGAAGCTTTTCTTTCGCTCATTTGGATCCGTGCTGTAAGGCCGGGATGTCCAAAGTGTCGAAGAAATATTTTAGCCCACAGTCAACCCAAAAAATCAGGAAACATTATGCCTTTCTAATATTTATTAGAACACTTTGTGTGCTTTGGATCTTGTACATTACTTACTTTGTATGTTTCATTAACGTTTTGCACATTTAGTTTATTATTGACCCGACACAATAAAAAAGGCACAAGAAGTTTATTTGTGGAAATAATGTTTTGTGCTTTCATCTTGGACATCACAGGTGTAAGTGGAAATTCCTCTTCCTGTTAATGAATTTGTGCCAACATTGACTTGAATTTGGGCTTTTTCATAATTCCTTCCACCTTGACTAATTTTCAGCACGAGATGAAGAAGAATAGGCCCAAAGCATTATGCAGCCATCATCATGCCTCACTGTGGACATGATGTTCTTTTGATGATGTGAGCTGTAGGTTTGGCTGGTGGATATTCTGACATGACTGTCCACCAGCTATCTTTGTGGATGAAGTGTGACTGAGAACATTTCGTAAAGGTTCTGAGAGTTATGAATGACCTCAGCTGGATATCTCTTGTTACCTTGAGGTCGTTCCAGCTCTGATCCAAGAGGCTTGAAACTTTGGAAGTATCAGAAACAATCTCACTGATTGCAAACAGAGCACTAAATGTATATTTAATTCTCTTTTGGTGCCGTTTAACACTGATGATCCAAATGAGTCCCCAACAATACCAACATGTGCATTGTTTTGTTCACATGTCTCGAGGCATGAGTTTCTGTGAAACTACTTAGGGAGCTGAGTAAAGGCAACACTGTCGGTGTTAGAAAGATGTAAAGCCACATTCAAGGTGGAAAATGTTGTAAAATTATTTGTTTTGGTGTCATTACTTAAACAGAAGCATAACCTGTTTCCAGAGGTGTGTAGACTTTTTAGATTCTCTGTAAACACACAACCACAACTCGTCGAAACAGTTTCAGAATAATGATCTTGTTGAATTTAGATCTCAAATCATATGGCGGCGCTTTCTCTGGGAGACTTTCTGTTTTCATTTTAATCCCTGCACACATCACTTTTTTTAATAACTCTTGCACGTCCTGCGACACGCAAACAGTTTGTTTGTGTCATGCATATGAAGCCGTGTCAACCTCTGCAGCAGGGGGAAAATCAGTGTTGACAGATATAGGTGGAAAATGACTGGCTGTGCCGTCAGTGAGCAGATTGACCAGGAGAGAAATGGTGAAAAGCTGGAAGGAGAAAATGAAGGAGAGGTGGAGAGGCAGGTGGTGTCTGCCACGATTCAATTACCATCAGAGCTGGATTGGATTTCCCCACCTTTCAAAATAAAGAGACAAATTTCTCTCGGTTCCCTTCTGGGTCCCACGGGGAGATTCACATTATTCCTGTAGACAGCCCAGCACCCCCTACTCCTTACCACGCCATATATCTCTGAGCACTGTGGAAGTTTAGTTCTTAAGTTATATAGTTTTTAAAGCAAATCTCCAAAAAGATGTATTATTTTTTTTGCTACCAAGTTTTTCTACTTGTAAAAAGAAAAGAAAAAAAAAGATATACGTGTTGTGTATATGTACCATAATCTGTATTATGTTAATTGTATTGTGTAATCCAAGCATTATAAGTCCTAATGGTTGAAATGTGAATGTTGTTACTGTAAAAGATGACTGTTTTTTCCTTCCTCAAAGTGAACGGTTTCTAACCTTGTGGACCTGTTACAATCTAGGTGCAATGGCTACTAAAGTGAGACGGCATGACACGCGGGTCCATCCTTACCAAAGGATTGTGACCGCTGACAGAGGTCAGTTTAGTCTCCTAGCTACATTTTGCTATTGACTGATGCATTTATATGAATATTATGCCTATTATGCCTCACTGCCTTAGTCAGAAACTTGTACATTGTCTGTATTGTACTATTTTTTTGTTTTCCTCCCCCACCTTACCTGCCCTATGCAGAGAATCTCAATAAATTAGAATATTGTTGAAAAGATAATTTATTTTAGTAAGAAAATTAAAGCCTTTTATTATAGTGGTCCATTACACACAAAGTGACGCATTTCCAGTGTTTATTTCTGGTAGCGCTGGGCAACATGGCATAAAAATAAAACCTCAGATGTTTTAATACCAGATCCGATTTACGATTTTAATGGCTCTTATCTCAATCATCCCTTCAGTGACCTTGTATGACAGAGTATTTGAGCCGTTTATTGTTTACTTATGAGAATTAGTCATAATATTAGCAATTTTATTAGGAAAAAAAATTTCAAAAAAATTTTAATGAGGACAAAAAGCTTAATTATCTGACATGACCAGCTGAATTTGTTTTTCTTCAAAACAGACGGTTGTTTGCATGATAATTTCAAAGTCCTGCTACAGATAATAGTTTGATGCCGACATGTTAAATGATTAATATTTCTATTAAGTGTTATATGTAAAACATATACCAAAGTACAACTTCACAAGATGCTCAACATTCATCATTTTATTTTTTTATTTTTCACATGGGAGTTCTCTATAAACTATTTCATTCTCACAATATTACAACTTTATTCCTGTAAAAATCGTAGTCTGGCTCTGATCCTTAAATAGAGTTCAAATACATAGAAGTTGTAAAACACGATTGTCAAACAAGATGGCCGACCTGGGAGCTCTGACATCGCTCTGGAAACCCAAGGAATGCGTTGTTAAAAAAATAAATTTGATTAATCCACTAAATCGTTTTTTCACCCAGCCATGATTTCTGATGATGTTGATGATTATCGCTTGCAGCTAATGGAAACCCCAACATTTGAATGTTAAGCATTTTAAAACAGAAATGTGAGCCTACTGACAGCATGTAATAGTATATTCAGTATGGGGCTCAATACTTGGTGTTTTGCATGATTTACTGCACCAGTGCAGCATAGCATGGTTCTGCTGAGGTGTTCAGGAAGCCCATGTTGCTTTAATATTGGCCTTCAGTTTGTCTGCACTGTTGGGTCTGGTGTCTTCCTGTTGATGATGCTCCATGGGTCCATGGGTAATCTGGAGATTAGGCCAGATTAATTTGCTGGCAAACTACCTACCACACTTTTTCCTTCCATTCAATTTTTTTTATTATTGGCAATGGCTATTGTGGCTTATCCTTAAATAAGTAAAGTGACTATCTGCTAGGCAAATATTAAGGCCACACGTAATCTGAGTATGTATTTTATTTCGGCCTTGTTTGGGATTTTCATTCTACCAAATGTTTTTTTTTCTTCCACTGAACTTTATGAAAATATGGTAGGTTGCTGTCTTTAGCTGCGTTTCCATTGCAAATGTGCACAAAATTTGTCAATATTCTGCTAATGTAAAAGAAAATTTAAAAAACTATCTCACATTGTGTTGTTTCCATTAAACAAAAAACACAAAATCACACGTGAATAAGTTTGTCCATGCGATAAGTCGTTAAAAACTGCCGCACTGTGACCCTGTACCACTTCCTGTCGCCTTGTTCCCGTTTGCGCCAGAGGCAACATCCAGCTGTCGGTCATGTGACTCGTGTAAATAAAGTGTTTCCATTGCAGTTTTGTGAAATAAACTAATTTCCATATGGACAAAAAAAAAAAAAAACTATCTCACCCTAGAGCCAAACTTATCAAAAACGAGAGTTTTCAAAATTGCTGCGTTTCCATCAGTCAGATTTAATTTCAAAATGTTAACTTGCGCAATTATATGGTCAATGGAAATGCAGCTAATTTCTTTAGCAGAAAGCTCAAACTGAATGTTGGGCTTTCATTAGCTGTAAGCAGTTTCGTTAAAAGAACAGAAATAAACAGTATGTCACTTTGTGTGCTAGATGAATCACTGAAATAAATGATATCCTAATGTATTGAGATGCACCTGTACATCCACACACCTGCTAAATGGTTGAGTGTGGTATGCACATTTTGTTTACATGTAGTACTGAACAGTGACAGTGTGTGTTTAAGTCAAAGCTCAGGCAAAAACGATCTTAAGAGATTCGGTTCATGCAGCTGTGAAGCTAAAAGAGATGAATAGTTTGCAGGAAGTGTTTAAGGTGTAGAATGACATTCCTCTGATGTGAAATTAGAGCCAAAAAAAAAAAAGAAAAGGGAGCAAGCTTGCTCCTATCCATCATTTATCTCCTCTCCTCATAAGGAGCAAAGACAAAGGGGAGCTTTTCTATCCTGTATCTGAGAGACGAGTAGCTGCGCTGCTGCCAGCCACCATTTCACCTACGGGATTTAAATTTCTTTATTATTTTTCTAGAAAAGATAGACGCGCGCAGACATTAGCTGAGGTAGCTTGCGTTCTCTGCAGTGTATTGCAAATATATTGAGAAAAAAAAGCTAAATACTTTTTCTTTTTTTTTTTTGATATTTCAGTTGTACATGAGGTACTGTCATTTTATATTTGGAACATTTTATATCAAATGTATTTATGGTTTTGTGTATATTTATATTCTATAAAAATATACTGCGAAATAAAAAGAGAGAGAATCAGAAAGCATTGATTCTTCTATTTATTGCACCTCGTAACTTTAGTTACTTTGATCAGCTTACCACTAATCACACTGTTTGTGAAAGACACTAAAACACTAGATTTTTGTTCATTTCTTTGTCTTTTTTTTTCAATTTAATTTATTTAATTTTTTTTGGTTCGGCTTTTCTTTGCTTCTGTTTTGTGGTTTCGGGGGCAGTGTGCGCTTAAATTAAACCGACCGCCTAGCGACCTGAATCAGGGGGTGTGGCTTAGCAGCATCATGACTCTCAGGCTAGGTTCACCTCATAGCAGCGGGTTGGGAGGGGCCACATGTGAGATTGCATTCATTTTATTGTTAAAATGATGTCATTCCAGTCTCTTCTTGCTGACACTAATATCCTTTCTATCTTTTTTTGTTTCTGTTTGTTTTTGTTTTTGTTTCTAACCACCTAGCCGCCACCGGCAACTAACACATGACCTTCTGACCTCTGAACTCTTCACCCAATGACGAGCCGCCCCAAGCCTGCCTGCTGATCAGTTAACTGGTAATTGCCTTTTGCTAGCCTCTCGGACGCAAGTGGCAGAGAGAGAGGCGCCTGCCCGTACAGTTACCCTAACACGTTCTGACAAAAAGATAGAAACCAACGCAGACTCTTCACTGAAACACAACAAAAAAAAACCCAACACAGCTGTGGATTATTCATTTTATTTTTTTTTTCCTCTGTTCATTAGTTCAGTTCCCATTCGTTCTCTTTCTTTTTCCTCATGAATCACGCACCGGGCGGATCTGTTTGTGGTATTACTCATGAATCTGCACTGAATTATAAAGCAATAAAGAACCCCCGAACCCACCCGCCTTTAATTACTCTGATTAGGTGACCTCACTCGCTCTCCATCTCCAGTCTGAGACGCAGACCGTTTTGGTTTTGGAGGGATCACCCACAAATTGCCCCAAACTTTCCTTTAGCAACACCCCACCTGCCCCGCCCGCCCCTCAGACCCCCGTCTGCCGCAGCGGAGAAAGAAACAGAAGGAACGGGAACGTTCACTTGCATTAACGTGTTTAATTTCTGTCATTTTTTTACCAAACCCCCCCAACATGTATTTCAGTTGTTGAGCTTGTAATTATGAGCTGACACATTCTGGGTGTGCCCCTCTAAATGGCTTCCTGTCTGTTTATTTTTTTTTTAAAGCATGGCTAAAATGATTGCAAAAAGAGCTTTTTTTATGATTTATGTTTTTTTTCCTGTCTTGATTTAATGCTTTTCTTTCGTGTGTTTTTTTTTTTCACTTTTATTGTGTTTAATTTTTCTGTTCAGATTGAACTAATTAGCTTCAGTCACTGAAACAAAGCAGGTGGTTATCTCTGGAAGTCAGAACAGAGTTTTAGCGTTTGAGGATGAAAACGAAAGGCGTGATGGGAGGGGTTAGCTTGGGTTGATGGGTCTGTGTGTGTGTGTGTGTGTGTGAGTGTGTGTTTTTAATTAATACTACAACAAAAGTGGGGTGAGGCTTCGGGGACGTGGGCCCCATCCACACTACATCCACTATCCAGTGCCTGATGTATTTAGAAGAATATCTCGATGAGTTAGCTGAGCTGTGATCACAAAGATTAAAACAAAAAAAAGTATTGTGTGCGTATTTAGCCAAAGGGTTTTCAGTGACTAATATATCTGCAGTTATGCATCTGTTTGGCAGAGGGCTCTCTTTGTGATTTTTAGTTTGGGTGCCTGCCTTCAGCTGGAACAGGAGTTTTACCCCTTCCCGCTCAGTTTTATTTGTTCTTATTTTCCTGAGGTCAAAACAGGCAATTAACACTAAAATTACATGCTACTCGATTATAGTGAAGTGCCAGGGGAAAAGACACTCATGACAAGCAAGAGGTTTATTGTTTTTGTTGTTTTTTTGGCCAATTTCTGCAGATTTATTCCTACTACAGTGGATTTGTTTTCTCCTTTTTTTCCATTTAGTTTTCATTTTTGTCCTCTGTGTTATGTGTGTGTAAGTTGGGGCATGAGGTCGACATAATCCTGACCTTTCTGCATATTATTCTTTTAATTATTTTACTAATGAAACCTAACATATGCCAAACCATCCATAAGTGCATCCACAATGTGTCACACCTCCCTCTGATGGTAGTCCAGCTTCTGAGCCCACGATCCTTTGTTTAAATCTCAAGAAAAAATAGGATGTGAAAGCCATGCCTGCCTGTTCAAATTGCTTTATACATACGTCTTATATATATATCTATAAATATATATAAATATATAAAAATGTAGATATCTGTCAATGCATATAAAAACACAGATGAGAACAAAAAATAGATAATTTTACAGGGTGCTGGAGATGAGAAAAAATCAATCTATTTTTGGCAATTTTAGCTTTTGATACTTTACTTGCAGTTATAAAATAATAATGAAAAAAAAAATAATAAAAAAATGTTTCTGACGGAGGAAAACTGAAGGCGAGTGGGTGAGAAAAAGTTGCCTGGAATCTAATTGGAAAAAGGAAAGACTAGAGCAGTCAGAACCATGGGAGATCAGAGCGGGACAGGATCAAATCAAAGTGCCTTATCAACAGTGGTTTCTGTTTTTTAGTATTCCAGTTGTGTTTTAAAATAAAACGAATTAAAGGAAAAAACAAAAAAAGAAAAAAAAAGGATATCCAGTACCCACTAAGATGGCGCAGAGAGGAACGGCAAGTGTTACACGCTCGGAAAAAGACGAGCTGGGCCTCCGCCGCCGCACCGTGGCGCCGCCCAAGTTACTCTATGCAAAAAGAATAGCAGTCGTTTTGACCAGCTAAAATATGTGCCATGGTTTTTGTCTTCCTGAAAATGATTTTAAGTTTTCCTTTTCCTTCACTTGATGGCCCTTTACTCTGCTGTACGAGCAGATCTTGTCTTTTAATTTAGGTTTTATTGATGATATGAATTATTCTCTTTTTTTTGGTTTTACTTTGTATCTTGAACAAATTGAACTGCCATTAGCAACCAAGTAGTCTGCCACGAGACGCTCTGATGATGAGCTGAGAAAAATACGCAGCGTTCAGGGAACCGAACGGGAAAGCGTTTGTTTGAACAGCGTCATCCGGTCCACATATCTCCATGTCAATTTGACAACAAACTATCAGTACAGTAATGAGATTTCTAATGGACAAAGGAAGCGCTGGGTAATGAAACAAGCACCTGCTTCACACTCAGATAGTTTCCAGTTGTTGAAACGACTGACAGCTTATTGCTGAAAGGTGAAAAAAACAAAAATGAAATTGAGAAATTCTGGGATCCAACAGAGCCGTCGGCAGTCTGTTTTCTCTCTATCGCTGTTACACCAAAAGGTCAATGAGTTATTATGATTTCCTTTTTTGTTTTCTTCTTCAGTGTTATGATTTTAAATTGAAATGCAATATTAAAGTAGAGAAAGAGATGGCAAATCAGCATCTGACAGTATTAAGAAAATCCCCTCTGCAATGTTCCACCATGCTGTGTCATTGTGAAAGGCTGGATAAGTCCATCAGGTGAAAGTTGACTCTATACCTACCGTATTCTCTCTGGCCTGCCTACTACATGTATGATAATGTAATTAACAGCCATTGTTACAGGTTTATAATGTATTTTTCTAATCTCATTTTATATGTATATTAATCATGTTTCTGAGTGGTTTTTTTTCTTAATTTTTATGAAACCCACAGCTCCCCCTGCCCTCCCACCACCTCTTCTCCATCTCAACCTGTCTCCTGTGGGGAGTTTTGCCTTCTTCTCTGTTAGATTTTTGGTTTTCTTGCCGACTCCCAGCTTGTTTAACTCATTAGCGACTTTATTAGTTTCCTTGTCATAAGTATTTTTACATGCTTGCATTTAGTTTTCATGATGTATGCTGTTATTTTTCTTATTAACCTCTTGGCATTTATTTTAATAAAACATTCTTAGTAAGAATTTTACTAACTTGCTGATTTTGTCTTGTGTTTTTAACCTGTTTCATGACTGTTATTACCCTGGTCTGGTTCACGGACTAACACGATTAAAACCAGCGTATGGCCACGACTTTTACTCACCGACACACACACACACACACACACACACACACACACACACACACACACAACCTAACTCAGGGGTGTCCAAAGTGAGGCTCGAGGGCCATTTGTGGCTCTTGGCTGATTATGTTCAAGAACAATACTGATTTGGTCTGTCCACACTGCAAAAATACTTGGTAAGATTTTGTGTTTTTGCAGTGCAGCTCAGGTGGTTGATGCAAAAGGAGACATTTTATTTGTAATCAGGGTAAAATCAACCATTACCAACATCATTTTCTCAAAATGTTAAATGCGGCACAAAGTATTAGTTTTTCCTAACTAAACTTTTTTAGAACTAAACAAATTTAACTTGGTCAAGTGAAGCCAAAATAAGTTGAAAACTGGATTCCTTTCTTTTAATACAGCAAACATGAACAATTTTAAGTTTACAAGTTTTTGACTGTGATTTTGTCAAATGTGACAAAAAGTTTGGACACCCCTGACCTCAGAGGAGAGCGCACGGTTCGGTGGGGGGGTCACTGCTGCTGTCACGCTGTCTGCTCGGTTCCAGCACTGCTGCTGCGTCCAGTCGTCTCCTTCCTGGACGAATCTTAGTCCTCCTGTCCTTCTGTGTCACTGAACCCTGCAGGAAATGAAGGAGAGCGTAAGCTACATGCTTTTATATCAGGGTCTGCAGTTGTGAGTCGGGGGTGGCTCTTAAAAAGCTGCATAATGTGGATCTCAAAAGTGTCAAATTGTTTGATTTTGGTGACTTTTCTCAGTCATCGCAGTGTTTTCCACTTTTAATGTGACTGATATCCTGTACAGTCTAGCTGAAAATAGGCCAATCTGGCTCTGAGGAAGCCAACAGCAGCACAGGAAGTACCAGAACCACAACTGATTGTTTTATTCGTGAAAACCATTTTTCTCTCCAACAAAAAATCGCAGCATGACTAAAATTAAATATGAAAGCTGATTTTATGATCTGATTCATCAAAATATAATCTTTGGGCCACATTTCTAATATTTCCTCCAAAAAACTCAACCAAGCATCACAAAATGAATATTCACACAGTGAAGCATGGTGGTGGTGGCATCATGATCAGGGGTTACTTTTTTTTTTCTTTTCTTTTGATAGATTTCCAAGCAAGTCATTTTTCACCCAAAACCTTCAGGTGTTTGCTGCAAAGTTGAAGATAAAGAGGAATTCTATATTTCAGTCTAAACCAAAAAAATAAAAACGCTGAATCTAAATTTTGTGCCACCTACCGAGGAGGACTGGATGCTCCTTTTAAATTGAATAGTTTAAGCTATTTCTTTTCAGCTAAGTTGTTCAGGATATTTATCCTGTTAAATGCAGTAAAACTTTTCCTGGCTCTTGTTATTTTCCACCATAAAAGCGGTGCCTTTTCTAACTGGGACGTGTCCACTTTTAAGAGCCGCTCTAATCCCAGCAGATAAAGCTTTTCTCCTGCCATTAGTTACTGCAGCACTCATCACAATCTGTTAAAAAAAAATACTTCACATTAGTCATCTCAGAGGGATTAAAGTTACTGTGAACGTGCAGGGCAGAAAGCCTCATCAGCACACATTTATGGAAAAAAAAGGGAGTTATTTACAGCTGACACTCTGAGCAGATTTATGGAAGACGGTCTAAAGCCGGCCATTTTTGTTGTTCCCGCGGGAACGACGGCGTTGCGGTTATCTCCAGCTGTTGTCTGTTCGACGAGCGCTTCTCCCCGTTCAGCTTACTGATGGAACAACTACCGCTGGGCCGTTTGGGAGCATCTATGCTGCTTAGACACACACCAGTGCACCGTGCCAATATGAAGTACTCTGGGATCAAAACAAGCTCAGTGTTTCAGACTTTCAGTGGAAAATGTTTGGCTTTCAGCTGGCCGCCACTTATTGTTTTTCTGGTAGTTTTATATATATATTTTTTTTCCATTTGAAGCGCCGCCAGTACTGCTTGTTCATTTCCCCTCCCTGGGTTCACTCAGCTTTTCTCCTCTTTCCACTAATTCGGGGTATTGACACTGACTCAACCAAACGATTAACGATATTAATCCTGATTCTTTAACACAACAAATGGCACCTCCGGAGTTATTTTGTTTTACACTCTTTTCTACCCCCCCACCCCTCCTTCACTGCAAAAATAACCTTGCCATTAAACGCAGTGATTCCTTTTATGTCTCAGCAAGAATGAAACAACAGAAACATCAGAGCTAACGTCTCTCCTCTCTGAAATTAACATTCAGATTGTTGCTTTGATCTGAAGACGGATCAGCTGCTTTAAAACTTGCAAGCAGAGGCAGAGATGTGATTACAGGCAGCAGAATTATGTTTTCTTTTTTTATGAATGTAGGGTTGTCAGACTTACTCGTCTGATTGGTTTTCACTGTTTTTCCTCTTCCGTACGACATCAAGCGACTTCAGCTCAAATCCGTCCATTTTGTTCAGATCAGAGAATTTCTGATTTTTGTGACGCACATACAGATGCATCTCAGTAAATTAGAATATTATAGAAGGAATTGATTATTTCAGTAATTAAATTAAAGGGAAATTCGTATTTAACATAGATTAGACACAAAGGGACAAATGTCAACCATTTAATTGTGTTGATATTGATGGTTAAAGCAGAAGAAAAGTAAACTCCTGTGCTGACTTGAAGAAACCCAGTGGACTCCAACACGGCTGGATTCTGAGCCTCTGCGCTCTTCATTCAGACTCTCAGACTTTACGTTTTGAATTAGCCCAAAATCTAATTCAACATATTCAGTCAAAGTCCTTGTGAATATCCTCCAAACTCTTGAATGGGCATTTTCCTGACACTGTTTTTCCTTCCACTAAATTTTCTATCAATATACTTGGATAGCCACCCTGTACTCAATCAGCATCTTTGGAAATGACCTGTTGTGACTCATTCTGCAGCTGCACTGCAAATACACAAAATTTTACCAAGTATTTTGGCCGAGTTTTTAAAGCAAATATCTTATTACACTTTAAATAAGACAAAGCTAAACTTTTCAGCCAGATGTAGGAGTGTGTTTTGAGTCAATACTTTCTTTATATTTTTGAAAAATGACTACTTTCTCTGGTAGATTATTTAACTTATTAAAAGAATTTTTCTCATGAGTGAAATAATCTGTTTTTTTTTTTGAAGTTTTTATCAACTTAAAACAAGCTCCGACTTCTTGCTGATGAGTTACTTGTAAATTAGGTTTGCCTTATACTGCAGCACTCATCACAATCTGTTCATTTGCACTAGAAACTAGACCAAAATACTTGGTACGATTTTATATTTTTGCAGCATGCTGTTGCCTGTGATCTAGCACAGGTTTTCCTTCCACTCAACTTTCCAATAAGTCCAAGCCAGCATTCTTCTTCATTCTCGTCGGCCAATGCTTTTCTACCTTAAAAATTACTTTTTATAGTGATTATGCTGTAATCCATAATCATCCAAATTAAAACAAAGAACAGTTTCAAATAAATCGGTCTGTTTTTAATCTATAAAATAAGTGAATTTCCCCTTGAATTGCTGAAATAAATAATTCTTTCAGTCATATTTTAATTGCGCTTTGTATTAAAATCACTGCCTAAAGTGTTTCATTTATAGAAGTGCCTTTTTCTCTCAGATTTGGAAAATATATATTTTTGTACCTTTTTATTATTAATGAGCTAATTTTTGTCTTTCCCTTTATCTCATAAAAAATGTTTCAGGGTAATGTGTAAATATATTTTAAACTGGAAGGCTTTCCACCATTAAACTTTGAATTAAAAGTTCCTGTTTTCTGTTTGCACCACTGAGGAAGCGTTTCTTCTTCTTCCTGTCTGACTGGACCACAGTGTGTGCAGGAAACGGCCGTTCGCACGCTGCTGCCATCTCTGGCGCAGTTCTCAGTTCTTTTCAGGGCATTTAAATGTGTTCACCTACCAACAATCGTTGACTTTTCCTTCTGTTTAACAAACATTCCTCTGTTCAGTCAGACTGCAGGTTAACAGTAAGAGCTAACAAGATTCAACAGTTTATCCCCACTGGATTTTACTTTGTCTCGTTTTTATAACTGTGATGCATATGCAGTTAAAAGTGTTACAAGTTTTTCAGAAGCCTATGCTAGCATGACTGTAAACTGCCAGTTCCTTATTCATATAGTGGTGCACTAATACCTGGGAACTGTTTGTTTTTATGTGAAGTAGCCTTTATTTGTGTGTTTTCTTTTGTTATTGAAGGTAATAAATTCAGAGGTTGTTGAACATGTATTGCCACTTTTTGTTGCCCACTTTCCCTCCCAAAAAAAATAAAATAAAAAATGAAGTGTGCAATAAAAAAACATATTTTCGAGCTTCACTCTGACTGCTATACCTGGACTGATGATTGCTTCTTTATCCGTGACATCCTGTCTTTGAATTTGCTGTGAGATTGCAGGTAGGTGAAACACTTCAGCAGGAAATTAAAGGGAAAACAAACAGCTGACCTTAAGAGTTCAGATTAAATTGAGCCTTTTATAGTCTTGATAAAGATTTTCTCTTTCCTTTTCTTCTGGTTTTGTACCTTTAGCAGTCATAAATCAGGCTTAAAGTTAACAGAGCAGTGTTACGGCTCTGCAAGATCAGCTTAAATGGGGCTGAAGAGACAAAGATGTCATCTCATCTTTGCTGCATGCAGCAAAGTCACAGCAGAGGTCAGCCACACATCAACCTGACTGAGCTGAATGCTGTCTATTCATTGCCTTGCAATCGTGTTCTTGTTCACTCAACTTTTCCACATTTTGTCACATTGCAACCTCAAACCTGAGTGTATTTTATTGAATTTTATGTGACGGACAACATTGTGTTTTTCAGGATAACTTTCTTAAACAAGAAGTGCAGCTAACTGTCTTCATAAGTGGCCTAATGAGTCTATGGGAATGTAATTTACTCTCCCTATGAATCCAGCTGTAGTGTGGTGGCATTTTCATTAAAATGCAGGAAACTTTCTAAATTAGCTTCTATTTGCATTTTTGTTCAGTCTAAAAACTACAAATTTGACTAAAATTAATTCTGTTTGTTAATATTTTACAGGAGTGAATATTAAGTTGCATAAAGCGTTTTTATAAAAGTGGATGAAGTTGGTTTTGTTGGTAAAAATGAGCAGATTTAGCTGGTAGGCCTTTGTATTACTTAGTTTCATTTATTTAAAACAGGCGGCAATGTGCTAAAAACATTAATAAAAGATGCTTTGTACAAGATTTAGCTTAAGCTAGTTTCCATCTGTAGTCCCTGAGCAGGTGAGCTAATAAAACTCTTATCATAAAACCTACGTTGAAAGTCCCCATATAACTTTAGCTGTACAAACTCATAAAATTACAACGATGTAAAAAGTGCTAAATGCCAAACTTCTGCTCCGTAATCAGATGCCAAGATTCGTTTTTTAACTCTGTACCCTTAAAGTTGCATTATGGTTGATGATTGCAACCATAATGCAATCAGTGAAAAGAGAAAAACGGTTCCTCCTGCAGAACCAACCAACTCAGCATCTGAAGCTTGGAGCTGTAAATCCAGGTTTCTGTAAAGTATTTATTAATCTAATGCTGTTGGATTTTCTTGGGGAAAAAATGTGGATCAGTTTCCCTCACAAAACAAAACTATACTTTATGTTGGAATTTTGCATAAAATCCATCGAAGTTTGTGGTTGTAAAGTGACAGATTGTGGAAAAATTTAAGCTTTCAAGGCTCTGCATATGCAAGCATCAGTAACCTGATCAAATTTTAAACGTAAGCTCAGATTCCTCTGAAAAATCTTCTGATGATTCATCATATTCATTCTCCATGCCTCGTCGTTTTAATAAAGTGTCTCTGTCAATAACAAAGATACTTGAAGCTTAATTCTGTGTCACCCCATTCATCAAACACTGAATATAATTTACATGGTCAGGCCTCAAAAGGTCAAAGAAACATACGGAAAGATATCGATATAATCCTTTCTGTCTGGGGCCCCTAAGCTAAAAAGGGAAGGTAGCAATCAATAGCACATGTTTGACATCCATAATCATGACCGGATTTCATGGTTTGTTACCCAAATAGCATCCTGCCTGATGCAGGAGACAGCCTCTAATCTTCCAGAAAGGTAAGAACAGACGTGCAAACCTGAAAATCTCTGATGCTGCCGCCGTCCAAACAACCTGTGAGGACTAAAGACCCAAAACAGAAGCTTAATCCTATCATCGGGAAATGAGTAAAGGTATGTATGTTCACTCTAATCTGGGCTCTGGATTTCCCTCCTGTGGATCCGCCAGCTGGATGTGAAGTGCTGTTTCTCATTTACCCTGATAAACACACATAATCTCCACTGTGGGTTAATGAGATTTACTGCATCCACATCTTTTTTTAGAGGGTAATTTTATACTTCACTTTGTGAAAACAATGATTTTGGTGGAAAGTTGAGGGCATCATACATCCACCTGTAGAAGTAAAGGAGATGCAGATTAATAAGTGGCTGGACTCCAGAGGTGGTTCCTGCAAAAATGACCCCCTGGTAGAAAAAGATTGGTTTTATATTCATTAATTCATTTGTGTTGATATAAGAACGTAGAAAGCCAAGAACACCATCAAAATGTTTTATTTGTATGTTGTTTTTTCTAAATTGTTAATGTTTTTGAAATCTCAACCTTTAAATAAAAAAAAGTTATATTTTTTTTAATAAAATATAATTGATTTAATTTTTGATAATATAGCAATAAGGAAATTTTATAATAAAAAAATAAATAAAAATATAAAATAACATACGTATGTTGTAAAAAGATGTTGAGTATTCTAATATTTTTCACATAACCCTCTGGGTGACAGCAATATGTGTTTTACACAGATTTGCTGACTTTTTTGTGGCACCCCTATGTGTTGCCGCTCTGGCATGAAGCCATACATCAACCAAACTGCACAATTTGTCACCTTGGAAATGTAGATATTTTGCATTTGCACGTATTTTATCCATATTTAGTAAAGACAAATAGGTTAGCCGGTTGGAAATAGATGTCTGATTGCGGCTCACGCTGGCTCCTCTGCAGGAACGGCAGGATGTCTTCCTCTCTCATTGCTGGAGGGCGGAGCCGCCTCTGAATGGGTCGGTGGGGAGCAACAGTTTATGAAGGGGCTGGTGGAAGTGACTTTAATGTTATGCAGGAAGCGGGTAGCGAGGAAGAGCAGAGGAGGAGGGTGGTGATGCTGGCGTTGGCCCCCGGGAAGATGCATCAAAGGAGCATTTGTTGCAGAGACCAGCTGGGAGTATAATGGCAGAAAGAGAAGCGGCGTTAGCGCCTGTGTGTGTTTTGAATGGCGAGACTGGAAGGGTGGTAACAGATGAACCTGCTTCCTGTGGAAAGAATATGGGGCATTCATCAGCGTGCAGCTGTTTCTCTCTGTCTCTCACTCTGTGCGAGACTTGAAGGCCTTCAGAGGCCACAGTTGTTGCAGGACTCAGGCTCACATGTTGATGAATGGATCTCTATTTTTTCCTTTGGACACCTGTGGAAAGTGACAGTAAAACTGTTGGATTTTGTTTTTGAGAATATGCATCGAGAAAAAAAAATAGCAACTTTAATTTATTTGGGGGCAGGCGGAATAAGTAGGAGTCGCTTCTGACACTTTGTGAAATTCATCACCAAACTACCAAAGAGCACAGGTGACGGTTTCCTTTAAAGGGAATCCACAGTTCCAAGAAAAGCTCTTGGAAAACACATGAGTTGTTGGCGATGTGATCTCCAGGCTCAAATGTCTTGATGTGGAGAAGAAAAACCCCAGACAGCTCGGCTGACGGTTCCCGTGCAGACACACCGAAGCCAAACCGCTGAACTGTTCGTCACGCCGCTTCTGTTTAGACAAAATGATGAATCCTCCTCACCAGCGCAGCTTCTGCTCCGTTTCTGTGTTGAGTGATCCAGACAGGTGTGAATACTGCAGGCCTGCTGTGTCACTGAATGCTGACAGACATCGTCTAACAGGTGTGTGTGTGTGTGTGTGTGTGTGTGTGTGTGTGTGTGTGTGTGTGTGTGTGTGTGTGTGTGTGTGTTACTGACTTCATATCCCCTCCAACAGCAGCACAGCGTTTTGCTTCCCCGTCGAGGTAAATTCACTCTAATTGGCAGATTTGATGCCAAACTAGGAAAAGCGAACAGGATGAGGTGACCCCGCTGTAGCGAGAAATGGATGAATACCGTAAGTATGACACGTTTGAGGAACAAACAGAACAGATCGTCATTTTACTGTTCAAATTATGCATCTCACAAATTATGGGTGTCAGATTTTTTGCCATAACTAATTTTTCTCAGCAGCTGCATGGAGGAGGAGTCAGTTTCCTTGCAGTAAGATTTTGGTTCAAATCGCCGCCGTTCTTTTGTTGCCAAAATGTTTTTATCAGAGCCACTCAAACAGATTATAATGAATAGAAAAGTCTTATTGAACCTCTGCACCTACTGACACACTTCACAATGTAACACTGACACATTAGTGTTTAAAAATTACAATACAGTGCACAAGTTTTCAGTGTTTTAACATCAGGAGGAAAAAAAACGCACATTTACATTTCAGTTTATTAAAGTCAACCAGAAAAATAATAATAATAAAAAAATCTGAGCCTTTCAATGTGACGTTTTTGCACGAGATAAGGTGATTTGGCAGCTGTTTTAAACTGGATTACTAACATTATTATTACTGTTATCTGATCTGCTGGTGCACATTGGATGACATTCCAGTGAGCCATTCTGGGAGGAAACTTTAAGCATCTGTAATGTTGACCTGACAGTCTCCTCTATCAAAGTGACCTTCATGTCATAGGTCATCTAGAAGGTCAAAACCTGGACAACAATCTCCTTCCTTCCTCAAAGTGCAAACGTAAAGAGAGAGAAGAGAAAGTGAAAACAGAACGAGATGACATGGATGTCAAACAAACTCTGGAGTTCCTTCAGTAGGTCAGAAAACATCCGGCAGGATGATCGTCCCGGATCGACTTTTAGGTCTCAGGCAGAAGAACAGAACAGAGACAAAGTGGCACATATTACTCAAATGAACAAAGCCTCATGCTTCACTGGCCGTACTTCTGTTACTGCTGCTACAGCTGCTGGCTTTGATGCTGAAATCATAGTTTCCTCCTGCCTTTGTGCTCATATTTCATTTCTTATGCAAGTAAGTAGAAATATCCTCTCCTTATCTACTCCAGAAGTTTAGCAGCTCTGAAACAAAAGCTTTTAAGCCGGACATCAATCAAGTTTAGTTTGCTAAGCTACAGCTACAGTCATGTGTTTACACCCAGTCATCATGAAAATCAATATCCTATTAGTTTTAGGTCATGAAGAGGACATGAAGTTAGGTGGTGTGAGGGCGGAGGATCAGAGGGCGGGGCTAAATGGAGACAGATGATTCACCGTGGCAGAAAACCAAACAAGAAGAAAAAGACTGATGGATTAGATCCTCAGGAGCATGCATGCACCTGCACTTTAACATTATTTCAAATAATGCATAGAAATCAGACACCTTGTTAAACTTCTGGGTCTTCTCTGCAGAATTTGTAAAGTCGAATTAGCTGCTTTCTTTGCACTGGAACAACTTTGAGGCATAAAACCTGTGAGATGTTTATTATTTTGTTTCTTATCTTCGTCGCTCTGAATCTCTCCAGTATTTCTCTTATGATGACTTCCACCTCCAGTTGCTCGCTGCTCTGCCTCATTTTCTGTACCAATGTATTTCAGTTAAACTCCTGCTCTTACGTCATGTACCGATTTTATCTTTGGTGACTTTCTGTGAAAAAAATAGAAATTATGAAATAAAAAACCCAGCTTCCTTCTTACAGCTAAATTGGGATAATTTTTAGTTAGGTTTTATGAACTGTCAGATTTATTGCATTCTGTTTATGACCTGATCCGATATTAGCATCAGTCCCGCCATTAAAAAAATAAATTCTAGATCGTGTATCAGTGACAATGTGCTTGTTCTTTAAGAGCAGATCTATTCAGTCTAATTCTATTCTTTGTTCTCTGAGCAACTTCATGCTTTATTATTTATTTTATATTATATTTACAATTCCTAAATGCATTTCTGAAACATTTGTTGCAGTTTAATTTTACCAATGTAGGCACTCGATTTTTTTAGTTTCTTTATTATTCAGTTTACATCGGCTGTTAAACTCTTAATTGAATTGACTGAACAAATTAAAGTTTGGTTGTTTTTACATGTCTTATCAAGCTTGTACTGTTATGGATGTGTCTCACTGTGGTCTACTGGTGGAGTTATCAAATAGATTTGTAATTCAGTACATCTATGTTAAAAAAAGAAATATTTTAAGTCAATTCAGCACTTTATTTTCTGTATCAGATCGTTATGGGTTGATGCTGAACCTCAGATAAATGTTTCTGTATCGGAGGTGGAAAGGTGGATCGATGCGTCCCAAATTCTCACACTTACTCTGAATACCTGTGACTCAGTGCTTCAAACCCAAACAGCAATAAAAGGGAAATGTCATCATTTTCCTCCTTCACTGACAAACGTGTCATTTGAATTTTAATCTTTTCATTTGCATAAGAACTGCTTTGCATGAATAAACATAAATCAGACTTGCGCAACCATCTACTACAAAAAAACAGAGATTATGATTATATATTCAGCTAATTAGCCTCCATTTATATGTTTCTAATAGTCTAATTACGCCTGCATTGTGTGCATGTCAGCAGCTCCAGCTTCACATCCTTTTAGATCCTTATTCTCATGTCTGTGTCGCTTCTTTTATTCAAAACAGACTCCAAAGCTGTATTTCCTTCATGCAGAATCAAACTGTAGGCTGACGAACCGACTAGGTTTCCACTGTCTGGCAACAGCCAACTTTGTGCCGCTTTGAGTCTCTCTCAGCTATTTTTCTTTGTCTTTCATATTTGTTCAGCTTCGCTGTACTGTACATTCCCGCTGCTTTCCTCCATTGTTGCTGCTGCCGTCGTGGAGCGGCTTTCATGATGGAGTTCAGTCATGCGGAGGTAAACATGAGGAAGGGCGGTCACCATAAAAATGGGCACACGGCTGAAAACTTCGCTGGCTTTTTTGACGGAAGCCGGAGCGTCTTTGATGGGAAGCGACCTTTCTCTGACTTTGGCTCTCCGGAGGTTTGAACTGTGTGGAAACACGACTTCCTCACACACACTCAACACAAACAGACACACACATGTTGGGCCAAGGAGCAGCAGCCTCCTTTCCTCTTCTGCTGTCTGATTCAGGAGGAATCTTTGTCTCGATGCAAAAAATAACTCCTAATCCGACTTATCAGCGGAGTGTGTGAGCTGATGTGGATTGTATAAGTGTGTGTAGGTGTGTTTACGTCAGGGTTCACAGTGAGTGGTGTTAATGTGTGTTTGTGTGCTCACCCTGGGAAATGAAAACGCTGACCCAATTTAATACACCTGTGTCTCGCTGCACTCTGGCCCAGCACTCAATCTAACACACACACACGCACACACACATTTTAACCCAGCTGCAGTGGAGCACAGATCTCAGAAACCACATTCTCCTGCTGCTCTGACTCGACTCTGCAGATAAACTCTGACGATTCAAACACACAATCGTTTATTCTCCGCCACAAAAAGCGTGGAATGATAAAACTTCATCCTGATCACAGATTTCTTTCTGCAGGTGTGAGCTGAAGCTGGAGTCAAGCTGCATGCCTCTGAGTCAGATTCCCGCTCCTGATAATTGCGCAAAAAGAAGCTGTGAGGATGTAATCATCTGCAGGTTGAAGCTGTGAAGGTATTTAATGACAGCGCTGAGGCTGTAATGACGCTGAGCAGCAGAAACTGGGTGGGATTTGTTTGTTTCAGGTTGTTTTTGTGTAAATGAATCCATACCGACTGTTTTCCTGCTCAGATTGATTTCCCAGCATGCCCCGGTGTGCGGCTCAGTGCTGAGTGACCGACGCTGAGGGATAACGAACCTCACTTCCCTTCAGTGTAGCTGCAGCTCAACACAGCGTCGCAAATGTATTTACTCCCCTTTAACCTTTTTCACCTTGTGTTACATCAATGTTGTTATTGGCTTTTCAATGTGATATTTCAATGAAAGTGGTGTGGACTTTGAGTAGGCCATTTGAACATGTGAAGATGGTTTGAGCTAAGTCAGGAGAGTCAAACTCTTTTTCATTTTGGGTCATATAATGATAACGAATATTCACAAGAATCTGTTAAAAAAACTTTTAAATTGATAAGTTATTTTTAAAATTAAATAATATTTAACATATTTTCCCTCCAGCATTTTTCAATTATTTTATGATTTTTTTGTAATCAAAATCACTGATTTGGAAACTTTTTTCAACAATAAAAATTATAAGGCAGAAATGATTTTTTTTGCTGCACAAACCAGCTGACTGGCACCATATTCCATTTGATTGTGTAAATGTGTTGCCTGGTTGACCTTTGATGACCTCTGGAAATATTTATTAATATCATTAAAATGATAAAAGCACAAAAGTTTGACACCAGTTTTGTTTAAATTGAAGAAAGTGTGAGGAAAACCTTCCCTCAGGTTCCTCCTCAGAATAAGCAGACCCCATTTAAACTATAAAACAAAATCAAATTAAACGAATTACCTCCAGAAAACAGTAACTCTGAAAACAGCGTTTCTTTTTTTGTGTTTTCAGTAAGACAAATGAAGGCTTTGTCTCTGGATTTGTACTTCCTACGTCTGTGTGCAATTAATGCAGCCTGCATCTGCTGTAAACATTAAAAAGGCTTTTTTCTCTCTCTCTCTTGGATTAATCTGTCTCGTAGGTTCTGGACTAAATCTGAAAGCGCCGACCCGGCAGGTATTCATGAACGCAGACCATTAACTCAGAAAATAAAGACGGAGTGTTTCCAGACCGCTCTGACTCTTTCTGCTCTGCTTTTTAACTACACTTATGAGTCAAAATAATGTGTTAGAGTAAATCAGAGATGGGCTGAACGAACACAACTCTTCATTCTGACTGCTGCTTTTAGGTTCTTGTGCTTTCAGACATTTTCTGTTCGCTTTTCACTCAATAAAACAAAAGGAAGAAAAACATCACACATAAATCACTTTTTATATTTATAAGTTAAGAATGTAAAATAAAAAACTTTGGGACTTTCAGTGAACAGCTTGAGCTTCTGTAACTCCGTCATATTGCATCCTCTGTGCAAAGATGTTGCATCATGCATAGATTAAGCAACTGTCTTCCTTTTGATCTAGGCTCAATGTGACTTTATGTAAAAAACATTTTTTAAATATTCTCAGTTTTGTGATGATATTTGCCTCAATAAAGTTCTTGTATTTAACTTTAATACTGTTTGCATCACAGGTGAGATCTTTGTTATGACTCAGGTTCAGTTCAACTTTACTTTTTATTGATTTTATTGAATGAAGCTGTTTTAAACCAACAAACTTGATTTGAGCTGCTCTTACTGTGCAAACTCCGAATGCACGTTTATTTTTCACATCATCAGACCAGAATCCATCACACCAACTTCTTACACCACAACTTTTTGTCCTATGGGCCAAAATGGTCTAACCATAAGGACTTGCAGGCCAAAAACATGAGGGAGAAAAAGAAAAACTTTTGTTTTTTTTACCTGCTCAATAATAAACTAAATTGCAATAATCTAATTAAATAAGTAGTCAATTTATTTTTGTTGGAAAGGGATGTGCAAATTATTATAGATCCAAAATGTAAAAATTGTTTTGACTGAAAATATTATAACTGTTTTTGTGAAATCTTTGTAATAAAATCATAATTTAGGAGCAAAGCTTAATAAATTCCTTAAAGCACATCTGGGTGCATCAGCACCTGGTCATTGAACACTTGTGTGTAATAATTTTACCCTGATTAACAATATAAAGTCAGATTTTTATCATTTTTGGAATTCAGTTGCGGGCTGCATAAAATCAGTACATGGTTCGCAACAGGCCCCCGAGCCGCACTTTAGAAACCCGTCTTACACTTTCGACCTTCAAAGCTCCTATATAACTTACTTTTTGTCACAATGTCTCCTTCATAAACAGTATATGTTTTGTTTGAAGTAATATTAGCTTGAGAATTTGCTTCCCAACATTTTCTTCCTGGCTTTCCTAACATCGTCTGACTTCTCAGCTCTGGCGGCCTGGAAGAGCAGCCAGCAGCATTTTAATGCCCGGCCTCAGAAAGGCGAAGCCTCGGGGCCGACGGCAGGAAGAGCCGCGGGGCTCCGAGGTTTTAAAACTCAAGCTCGACTTTTATTAAGAGCAGCTCTCTCTGTGTCTGTAAGGGGAAATGATGGGGCAAACCAGCAACATGCAGACACACTGATGACAGTTAATGAAATATTTAGGAGATGTTTACATATAAAAAGAGAAAATGATTCAAGAGTCAGAACCAGTAAAGCCTGATGTAATAGTCAAAAATGCTTCTTTTAGCTCAAGCATTTAAGATGTTTTTAAAGAAACAAACAAAACAGTTTTTTCAAACATTGCCTTAAAGAAAAAGCACAGAAAAACATAAGTGACACCATAAGCATAAGGATCTTTTTCCTCTTGATGTTTTTGATAAAGAAATTATAAAAATATGTTTAATGACATATTTATTAGCATTTCTGAGAAAAGTACTAACTCTGTTTTGTCTTCAGAGACGTTCTCTCACATTCTGGAGAATATATCAAGCACAAAGTCACAATTTGTAAAACCTGCAGCTGCACGTTAAACATTTACTCGTAATGTCTGACTGATAAAATTCTTAATTTTGCAGACTTAAAACTATTTTTATTCAAATAAGAAGTTTGCTTCTGATTGGAAATGAGGCCTGGCGTCTCTCAAATAGTAAAATAAAGCTGCAAAAGGACCTTCACCTGCCTTTTGTGAAGAAAGGCATTGCATGTTGAAAGTTATTTATACTTTCATGGAATTATTTAATTGGCATTACAGCAATCAAGCCTTTGAGGTTGGAACTCCTCCTTTCCAGCACAATAACTTTTAAATCTTACTGCTCCAAAACATTAACATTACTTCCAGTCAGCATAAATGTGTTGGTAAAATTAAAAGATCACTTAAAAACAGAATTTAGCTTGGGGTATGAAGCATTTTGGGAATAATTATACTTGCCTAGAAGGTCATATATCTGGTGTTGAATGGTTAAATGTGAAGTTATAAATTATTTGTAGTTGTTCAGATTGGATGCAGATTAATTGGACTTGTAAAAACATGAAACCCAAATGCGACTTTGAAAATGCTGCACCAGCGATCCAGAGACAGAACTGATATTTTGAGTTTGGGGTCCAAACATCTGTGGGTCTCTAACCCTTAACCTCAGTTTTTATCAACCAATCAGTTCTGTAAATGTCCAGTCACCCACATCCCTTCTCCCAGCCTCCACCACACCGGCCATTGCCCTCTGGCCCCTCAGACCCCTCCACCTCTCTTCCATCGCTGCCCTTCACTGCGAGCCCCAACATTTCCTCCCTCTTCCTCTCTCCTCCTCCTCTTCTGAACCTTCTCCAGGCAGACCGCTCACCTCTGATCAAAGAGGGTTGTGTCTAATTCAAGCTGACAGCCACATCAGTTCCACCGTCTGCTGTGATGCAGCACCATGCTGCTGTACTTACACACGGCTCTGAAGAGGCAAACCCACAGTGAGAACAGGGAAATCTGTGTAGGCTCCTAACACATACAGCTGAGTCAGTGCAGGAAGGAAACGAACTGTAGTTGTTGGAGGAACCAACTGCAGAAGAAAAGGGTTTAAAGGGAAAAAAAAAAGGAAAAGTTACAGGTCTTCACATGAGGAAGACCTTAAATGTGACATGAAAACCAGTTGAGTCTAATCAGGGGAGCACTAAACAGCTGAGAGAGAGAGTACTGAGCAGATGGACTGAGGGATGCAAACAATTAACTGATAACTATTTGTTGATTTTTTTTTTTTTTAGATGAAAATTAGTTTTAGTTGGGTGTCAAACTCAGTTTCACTGAGGGCCACTTCAGCATATTGGCCCCCCTCAACGGGCCACATTGACGGTACAAATCAGGAGGGCATCCCTGCTAAAACACCCCAGACAAAAGGTTGACTTCCCTCATTTAGAGGCTTATAATGAGTCAATGGTCCAGGTGTGTTAGAGAAGGAATCCATCTAAAGCTGCAGATGGTAGCTCTGGAAAACTAGACTTGGGCACCCCTAGCATAAATGTATAAAAATACAATGTTAAAAATAAATTAAACACCACCTCATATTGTTAAATAACTGATTTTATGTATTGACATTTTAAATATTACATTTGAGTTTCCATGGATGTAAAATTACTGCTCAGTTTAAAAACTGCAATATTTAAATCAGTGTTTAAAGGTAAATAATAAAAACAAGTCACATGGGCAGACATTATAGACTTTACGCAAAGATTTAGTCTCAGAGGCAACTGAAATCAATTAATTAAAAAAATCCTTTCTGAATATCATCTCATGGTCTCTAAACTAAATGTGTCTTTCTGACCGGAGCTGACAGCGTGTTGAAGAGTTATGGACCGGACGCTTTGGAGCGTCTGGTTAGGAAGCGCATTACAAACCTTTGGTTGAAATGTAGTTTGTAGTCAATTCATGCTCAAAACCTATTTTAAGTCAATCATTGGCCTATAAAATGCTGGGGGGCCACATGTGGCCCGCGGGCCTCGAGTTTGACAGTGCATTACGCCATAGAACTGCCAATTGGTAATTGAAGTAAAGTAGCTTCCATTTCAAAGAAGCGTACATTGAAGTCGATTGGCAAATGAACCATCACAAAAGAGGAAGACTCTTATTGTCTCACTGCACCCCAAGAGATGCATAACCTACAAAAACCATTTCTGTCTGGTTTCGAACCAGAGACCTTTTGCATGTAAAGCAAACGTGATAACCACTACACTACAGAAACTCAGGCTCTTTGCAGTGTTCCTGGTAGATGATCCACATTTTGTTAGAGACTAACGTCAACGATGGGCATGGAACAATGTCAAATACTTACAGATCCTCTCAGAGAGCACAGTAACTTGGTGAACAAACTGTCAGACTTATACTTGTGCCTAATTTCACATTACAGTCCATAAACTAAGCCTGGGATCAACAAATTGTATAGAATACAAATTGTATAAGCCTGGGATCAACAAATTG